ACTTTGTCCATGTTGGGTCAGCGTAGAATCCTTGCTGACTGAAGAAGCTCAAGACAGGAGATGCAATGGCTGTGATGTTTATGGCAGTAGCCTCGCATCCTCTTCACCTCACACCATGGTATAATTCCTACCATTAAGGCATATTTTTTCTCATTTCTGTCTTCTCTCCCTTTATCTGCCTTCAACACAGAGCTTAGGGAGGTGGGAGAAGGGACTAGACCACCACTCAAGCTGAGTTTAGCAGAATATGTTTATCCTGTTTTGTGTTGCTTGTATTGGCGAGTGTTTAATATATTGTCACCTGCTGAAGTTCATAAAGAAGCTCTGAAGACTTCTGAAGAGATTTAGCTGGGTTTTTTTGAGGTTGTTTATCTGGAATACAAGTGGGGACTGACAACATACAAAAGAAAAATAGCGGATGTGTGTGCTACTCAGAGGAAGATCTGTAGGGAAGGCCATTAGATGACAGCAAGCAATAGAAGCATGTTAACATGAGGATAAAGAACCAGAAAACATGAGGTTGTTTGAGAACATCTTTCACTATGAGGCTCTTCATCCAAGAGAAATACTGTGACAAAAAAAGGATTAATTTAAAATGATACTTGACAGATTATTGAAAGAATTATGTGATGTGCTTGTTGAATGATCCAAGAGATTTTTAAGGGAGAGCTCTGTGAAAATTATCTGTAACCGCTTGGGACGATGCTTTCTGATCAACAACACTAACACGTTGGCATTCATGAAGAGGGGAGTTAAAAGGACTTTATTTGAGAGTGTGGTGCAGCCTGACCCGAAATGCTGCGTCTGACCTTGTTCTTTGCAGCTTGTAGTTAATGTGGTGGAACTGGAGGGGATTCTGCCAAAGGCCTTGCTAATGATGACATGATTTATTTATTCATTTGGCTTCTGAGGAGAAAAATCAGACATTGAGGCTGGTTAGTGTGGAGTTCAGGCCACCAAGACAGTCAGGGGCCGGAGCACTTGCCCTGTGAGGGGACCTGAGGGACTGGGGGTGATTCAGCCTGGAGAAGAGATGGTTTCGAGGGCACCTGACAGCAGCCGCCCGGACGGATGAGGAGGGAGGTCACCGAGGAGAAGGAGCCAGGCTCTTTGAAGTGGTGTGTGGTAGGAGGAAAGATGCAACCAGCACAGATTGAAAAAAGACGTGCTTGGACTAGACAGAAGGAAAGACGCTCCCAGTGAGGATGTTTAGTCAGCAAAACAGGTTGCCCAGGGAGATTGTCCTTTCAAGACCAGGCTGCCTAAAACTCTGAGCAGCCTGGTCTAGCCCCACAGCTGACCCTGCCTTGAGCAGGCAGTAGGACTGCAGGCTTCCAGAGGCCCTTCAACCTGATTTATCCTATAATATCCATAGACATAAATAATCTATAGAATTATTCTGTGGCCTATGGATTCTAACAAAAAAATTATGGCAAAGAAAATTACTATCTATGAATATAAGGGAAGTATTGAGAAGGAGTTGATAACAGCTTGAGAGGAACCAAAGAATGTGAACTGCAGTGGTTTGGTTTCATTTGGAATAAATTTTTAAAAGTTGCGGGATACTTCCAGTTTGAAGCTGGTGATCTGAACAGGAGCACAGGTTAAACTTGGCACTTATAATTGTTTGTCACTTTAAAGAGTATAGCAGAGACCTACTAATAAGCTCAATTGCCTATTTTAGTGATACATAAAAGTAGCTCTGAGTTTTCTTTGATTTTAGGTAGCCTCACATTAATAAGTCACTGGTGGTGGTGTATGATGCTAAGGCTTTAGCTTCTTGGGGGTGCCTTGCTCCGAAGTACTGTGTCTAGATGTACCCAGTAATGTGTTTAGCTCTGTTGTGCAAAACCAAGTATTAGTTCTACAATTCCTGTGTGAAACTGCTATAAATGTATTAAAAAGATTATTAGTGAAATCTTGTATTATTTTAGAATAAGTAAAGTTCAGATATTTTGAAGATAATGCATTATTTTTCAGCTCCCTTGATTAATGGTTAGTTTCATGTGGGAGCCTACTTCTATGAACATGAATATATGTCTAGGTGAAAATTAGGATTTTCAACAAGTGCTAGTGAATATTTTTATTTTAGTTCAGTTTACTGGCAAAGGAACTAGCACTAATAAGTTAATACTACATCAATTAGTTACCTACACTATGGTTTTAAGTAATCCAAATGCTGGCTACACTTGCTTAATTGAATTCCTGGCTTGTTGTTACAGGTCCCTCATGACCATGATTCAAATTTAGCTCAGCTGCAATTTTTTCCCCTGGCATTACCAAAAGCTAACATTTGGATTAGCTTACTGGTTTTAATGCGTAATTTTAAAATATATGCATGTCAACTAGTATTTTACAGCACAATTTCTGGACTATATTGGGGAAATACAATTCCAGAGTTTCTCTGATGGAAAAAAAGAAAAACTCAGGAGTAAAACCAAACTCACCTAATGAACAAAAAAAACCCCCATGGTGCACTGGAGGTGGTTCAAAAGGCAAATACATGTCTTGTTGTGAACAGTGTGGTGTAAAAGCCGAATAGAACATTATTGAATGATGATGATGATATAAAATGAATATAACTTTCCTTTGTCATTCCTTTATAGGAGTATTATAATAGTGGATGTGCATAAAACTGTCCTTGCCTTTTATTTGTAGTATTTATAGTGTTTTATGGTAGACATCTAAGGTTATGTGTTAGACTGAGCTGTAGAAACGGGCCTGATCTTGCATAACACAGTATTTGAAATTCAGTATTAATGGGAGTCTTATTTGTATAATTATTGTTTAACTAGAAAGATAAAATTACGCCATGGCTTCACTAGTTGTCATCGCTGATGGATGCATGGCAGCCTCCGGCTGGAAAGAGGTTTTCATTGGAAGTGACAGGTGCCACAAGGTTTATTTAGGACAACCTCAACCTTGTCCTGGTTAGTTTGATAATGTTTGCCTTATGTATGTTCAACCACTGCATTTCCTGCGTTAGAGCCTTGTGTTACACCAATATTACTATCTGTGCTGCCTCAACTACAAATTGGATGAACAGCCAGTGACACTTTTTCAATATTATTACATTAAACCAAGTGGATTTTGATTGATAACCTAATATTCAACTAATGCAAAACATCAATCATGGCAAGTATATTAATTATTTAATATTGCAGTCTAATTCAGAAATCGATGTGCTGCATGAGGGGAAGGGAAACTCACTGTTCCCAGAAGACTTAAGACAGGGAATGATTAAAAAAAAAAAAACCCACCCTGCTGTACTCTTTGTGTGTTAGTTCGATAGAAATCTTTATTCATTTGCCAATAATCTCTTCGCATTTTCCACTTTAGGACCTTTTTTATCAGTTTTGAGACCTATAATTGAATTAAGTCTGCTTTCAGCACAGGGCAAAAGGAGTTGCACAAATATTGATGAAGTCATGACAGGGACAGCGCAGGAGACAGACCACTAACAGGGCAGGTTTTATACCATTAGTCGGGAGGTCCTCGCATCAGCTGCTTGGATCCTGCTTCCAAAGTGATTAAATTCTTTAAGGCCATTTAGCACCTCAAAAAGTAGATGTGGGAGATGACTTCTGTTTTAATATTGTATGGACTCAAATAATCAGTTCTTGTTTCAAAATACAAAATAACGGTGTAAGGAAGGCGCATCTTTTTCTCTTGCTTCATTCATGATCTATTCAAAGAGAGCAAAAGTGCATAGCAGACTTTTGAAAGCTTTATGAAACGATAAATAAAAGCTTTCTGTAAAAAGTCTAAAATACAGTTCAGCAAGGTTGTCAAGTGGGTAGTTGAATGTAGCCTTATTCAGTATCTAGGAAAATTTCATACATTTACCCATTTTTGCGTGTGACTTCACATTATGCCTTACTCAGCCTGTACTAAGTACTAAGAGGAATGGGAGCTTCAGTCTCGCACGGTTTGCTCTCTTAGAGGAACATGGTTGGGGTTTTTGCACTGATGGTTTGATATAGTTGAAGAATTTGTTGAAAAATTGATATTATAAATATAGATACATGGTACATGCTATAGGTCAATAACTGATTACTTGGAATACTTGGAGGGCAGTTTCTCCTTGTTTGCCATGGTTGCCTCCCATCTTCCTCAAAAGGCGCAGTTACCTTTTTGGAAGTGGGTAGAACCTGGAGTCAGTGGAAGCAGAAACCAGTCTCCTTGTGTAGTGGCTTGGGATTTGGGGATTTTTTTAAATTTGCTTTGCTTTGGTTTTCTTTCAAGTTATCTTTTTTTTTTTTTTTTAACATAGCAGGATGTGTTAAGGATTAATTTTCACTCTGAATTCTCTTTGCCTTTCAAGATTTTTACTTTGGTAGTTTGGCCCATTTTTTGCAGCTGTCTTTATGCAACGTTACTTCTAATTTTTATATCTGTACCTTGTATTTTTTTCAGCTGTCAGGAGTTAAATGCAAAGTTTCAGTATGGCTGCCACGACCTAGTTAGAATCATAGAATCGTTGAGGTTGGAAAAGTCCTTTAAGATCATCAAGTCCAACTGTTAACCTAACCCTGCCATCCCACCACTAAACCTTATGAGTCCTTAAGCAGAAGACTCATTCATTCCATCACTGTTGTAAATGGTCACAGAATTTTATTATTGAAGTAGTGGCAAAGCAGAAGCATGAGCCACTGGATTGGGATTTGATAAATAGCATTATGCACTGTCTTGCTTTATTAATACCAATATGAATAGTGAGATAATTATATTGAAAAAGTTGGTTTTTAAATAGTGTCCTGTTGCATTGCTACAGTTTATAGCCATTTCAGGGCAGGTAAAATTTGAGGTTTTAAATAATTCTATAGTTATGTGTTAGGATAATTGATACTTTTTAGGTATTGTAATGATTTAAGATATTAAAAGTAAAGATTTTTTTATATACTTGAGAAATTACATGGATTTGACATTTCTGAGTTAAACATAAATCGCTGTAGACAAGGGTTTAGCAACTATTTAGAACTTTTGTTCTTCTGTTACAGGGACTCTGGAAACATCAAAGCTGGATTAGAACATCTGGTAAGTTTTAATTTTCTCTTGAACATTTGCATCATCTTTGATATCTGCATTCCAAATGAACACTTTTGAATGAGCTTTGAATACCTTGAATTGAGAAAGTCAACCATTTCCCAGAGGGTCAGCTTACTGTTATTATGTGAAGGCACTTACATTTTCATTTATCTTACCATTTCAAGGGAATTTTAATTTTTTTAAATTACTTTTTTTGATGTAGAGATGAAATAAAATGGACTACAATCCTTGGATTGATGATTGCCTTAATTATAAACAAAAATTGTTTGGTGTTGGATTTTTGGCATATCCTGATCTGAAAACAACAAACTTGTGATTAAAAAAAAAAGACACACACACACAATCAAATATTGCATGCATAAATATGGTATGTTTTAGTAATTTGAAGTCTTTGAAAGAAGTGCACAGCTTTGTTTTTTCTCTTGTCTTTGCTCTATGAATAATGTATTGACTTAAATTCCATTCAGTGCTGCAGTATAAAATAATAATTGAGATGCAAAATATTTTTGGTTTAAGTAAACATATTCAAACCGCAAGTGATGGCAAGGCATACTTAGCATTAAAAACTAATCAGTTGATCAAAACTGGAAAAAAATACAATATTGTCACAAGTCTGAAGCTCATTGAGCCTAGTATGTTAGTATCAGCAAGCATCAGAACATTAAGTAGTTCATCTAAACAGATTATTAAATCCCATTAAATCAAAATATTCCCTATTAATGGCATGTATATCTCAGTACATCATGAGAAATGTTTAAATTTGTGTTTAATTTAATATAATATCTGAATAATATATACTGGTCTATAGTGCTATTAAAATAAGATCTTACCACAATGTATTGCATGAGCATTCGAAAAAATTGCTTTTCTGTTGTTGCTTCCCATTTTGGGAATCACTTGGGAAATATGATTTGTAGGAGCTTGTGTACCAATATCTTCTTGGAGTAACAGCGGGATGAAAAGGATGTATATTCTGGCATAGTTGTCAACAGTTTCCCCTTTATAATGGTGGCATATTAAATGTTCCATTGCAACTAGTATTTTGAATCTGTAAATGGAATAAATAGCTGAGTGTTATGAATCGTTCTTAGAGCAGTTTGAAAATTAATCTTGTTTGCTAGCTTCATTGGTATCTTGCATGCTAGTTGAATCTCTTAAATAAATTTTTAAAATGTTTCATTCCTCTGCTGGTGTCAGCTAGTTGTAATCTGATGGGTTCAGAGAATTTTTCTAATGCATTATAAAGATGCTGTAGTCTTGACAGATGACCATGACTGGTACTTTTTCTAAATTGGGAATGCTGCAATAGCTGGAGCTGCAGGTCTGATTTATAATGTCACCTCAAACCAGCAGGTGCAGAAGGAAGAGGCTCTCTATGGGTTTTGAGTAGCCTGGGGCGGGGGGATGGACCAGGAATAGTGTTTCCACTGCTGTTCAGGGTTTCCCTGGGATTTGGGGGAAAATGTGCTGGAAAGATTCTCTGCAGAGCAACGATGCCCTAAGTTCTTTACTGGATAACTCCCTATATTTTTGAATAAAATTTTGTCTTCATTAAACACATTAGCTGCTTTGTATTTCTGTGAAAGATCTGTCAAAAAAACCTCCAGGTTTGAGGATTTTTTTTCTTTTTCCTGTGATCTTAGAAAATCTGTCCTGGGAATGGGTGCTCAAGGAAATTAACTGTTTCCCAAGATGCCCACAGATGGGCGTGTTCATGCTGGAAACTGTTTTATATCTCAGTGTTATGTCAGCCAAGTTCACAAACACCTTTTGGACTCCAGTTAACATTAGGGATATTCCTCAGAAGAATTAAGCCACGTGATTGCTATGGTTCTACTACTTTAAATTACTGCATCTCCAAACACTTGTAATGAAGTTTTTTTTGCCCCGAAAAAATTTGGTAAATATTTTACGAATCGTTACTTGGAAATACTTCCAGTTTAAAACCAGATGCTTTTATAAACAAAAATATTTTCTTTGTAGATTGGAGAGCTCCCCAGCAGAGCCAGTCAGACCTGGCCCTCCCAGAGGAGCTGGGCTGTCGCTGCTGGGGGAGGAAGGGCTGCCCGGTGTGTCCAGCTTGTGTGCAAGGGGGTCACGGCCATGCTACCTGCTGACCACCAATAGCTACATCTGCTCAAAAGCATATTTTATTTTTAGCTAGTTAAGAAAAGAAACTGCAAAGTTCGAAGGATAGGGGAATCAGTCTTGTATTCCAAAAATTTTGATGGTTATTTGCTGAATTATACTTAGCTAATTCTTTTTCCAAGGAACAAATTCTAACAAACTGTAAAAATCTTGGAATAGATGATTATATATCTGCAACTCTGAATAGCTCCTGTTTTCTATTAATAGCTCTACTAAAAAAGAACCATGGAGCCATAGGTATGGCTCACTCATTAGAGATACTGTGTGCCTTTTGCATAACATTTCAAAGCAATAACCTGCTTGTCCTTGTGGTCAAGCAGCAGAGTCTGTCTGTTTTAAATGATGAAGAGCAACCTGTCATTAATAGCTTGTTTAGCCCATCAGCGGTTTGTAAGAATATAGTTACTGCCTGCCAAGAATGCAGGCGCTCCCTGTGTCGTGCGTTAATCAATAACCCCCAGCAGGCGCGGATGAAGCTCCCGCGAAGCTGGCGATCGCAGCGCTTGTGTGCAGCTCTGCCAGGGAAGCTGCCGGAGTTCGCTGTTTACCCTTTTAGTTGCATCATGTCTCATAGGTAGTGTATATCAAGGTCACTAATTCATAACTAATATTGGTCAACTCCATCTGGCAGCTCTTTGGGGTTTTTTTTTTAAGAGATCTTCGGTAGAAAAATTTGCATAAATGATCAACCAACCCAAAAAACCCGCAACAAAAACCTAAAACCCCAACCAAAAAAAGCCCCTCCTTTATCCAGAAGGACTTAATACTTATTTACTAGGTATCCCTAATTTTTTTTTTTTCCTTGGAGCTTGGTTTCAGTGGCTGACCTCTCACTGGTTTTTCACTGGCTTAGTTTCAGACTTCTGGCAATTACAGCTCAGTGGTCCTAGTATGGCTACTGGACAGCAACATCTAATAGAATCGTTGGCTTTCTAATGAGATATAAAACCAAGCAACCAATTATTTGTGTTCACAAACAATTAATTAACACTCTTAATATGAGTAATTATGTTTATCTTGGTATTCTGGCAAAATTCCATGCTGGGCAATTATATTCTGCAAGCTTGAATTCTGTCTATTGAAGAACAGTCAGGCTGAATGGCTGGTTGGGTTTTTTCCTATTGAAATTGTATGTGATTGAAAACAAGACTTTTCATATTTTTTTTTTTTAAAGGCATTTCTTTCTCATGTGTCCTTTCAGAAAATGCTAATCATCAAAACCTAAGAAATATTCCCTCAGGAAAACCACCATGGTGTTCTTGGGGGGTTGTAATTTTCATGCCCCATTTCCCATTCTTTTGACCAAATTCCCCTCCTGGGTGAGGTCACTGATGAGGCACCTCTAGAGAGGACAGGTTTAGTCCAGGAGATAGGATGGCAATGGCAATTTAGCACAGAATTCACTTTTTCTTCATAAGACGGTATTCTGTGAAGTGTCCCCACTCCAGCACAAGAATAGCCTCATGGGCAGGGTGTGCACAGGTTGGGTAGTGGGTTGTCGGGACTGTATAACATTATTTTCTACCCATTTAGACAATGGGATTAGTATATCCCTATGGTGGGGTAAGACTCTTTAGCCTGGAGCTGTCTACTTCAGGAAGCAGTTGAGCAGAAAGTCTTCTAAAGATGGGAAATTATAATGAAATAAAAATATCCAAGTAAAATCTTGTTCTGTCATCAGGTAGATAATCGGATTAGTGGAAGGGAAATGGTGCTGCAAGGTGCCAGTGGTATCGTGAGCCTTGTAGATGTTAGTCCGTAGCTTGTGATGTCATGAGAAATGCTGATGCATTTATTTCCTTTCGAATTCCTGTCGTTCACATCCCTCTCGTTTATTGCATATGCATAGAGTTAAGGGATTTTACATACAAGGTGGTTTGCTTATATGAACTCTTTTAATAGCCATCGCTTGCTATTTGTTCAGGTAAACATTAAACTTGAATCTTCAACTCGAGTCTTCTTGATACTTTCTTTCATAAAAGGTGATAGGTAGATAGGCGATTCCTTTAGGAGTGCTAAGTGTGAGAAGACAGCCACTGCTTATGTCTTCCTGGCCATGTTATAATAATAACAACTAACCTTTTGGACGTTTTTAAAACTTTTAAGAATTTGTAGAAATAAGCAGGTTGGAGCCTTCCTTATAAAATGGTGTTAATGATAGGTTACACATACACAGAGAAATTATTATTTGTAACTGATTGTTTAACTCCTACTATTTAGAATATAAATATTTGTATTTATGTAGATACACACTGAATTCCTCCATTCTTCTGTTGGGGTGGGTTGTTTTTTGGGTTTGGTTTTTTTTTTTTTGGCTTAGAGCCCAAAATGTTGTCAACTAGCGTGAAGTTACAACTAAAACCATTGCATTATCTGAAGCTGCAAACATATAGCTGCAGAA